AGGAGACAGATTTACCAGATGGAGCTGGAGAATCGCTGCCAAAAAGCCAACGAGACTCTACAAGAATTCGCTTCGGAGATCGAGAGGCTGGCTCACTTGGCTATTGGAGACGCATCTGGTGAACACCTTGAAAGGGTAAAGATCCAGAGGTTCATCAACGGAATGCGAGACATGTATACCAAGCGCGAGACGTATGTAAATCCAAAGCCAACATTTGCTGAAACGGTCTCGTATGCTCAGACACGTGAAACGGCGGCGCTCCTAAGTAGACCAGCCTACAAAGCCCATCGAGTAGAAGTGGAGACACCTGACGTGATGAACGAGATCCTGAAAACACTCAAGTCGATGGCAGAGATGTGAAAACTTCCATGCAAATCAGTTCACTCATTTCCGCGTATTAATTAAATTAAACATTTCTAACAGGTGGCAACTCTTAAAAAAGTAGCCTACTTTCTAACCTAGGTCATAAGATATCTGTGTGCAAAATTTCATGCAAATCCGTTTAGTCGTTTCCGCGTATTAATTTACTTAAACTTTTTCAACAGGTGGCAACTCTTCCAAAAAATCCGCCTATTTTCCACTATAGGTCATAAGCTATCTGCTTGCAAAATTTCATGCAAATCCATTCAGTCGTTTCCGCGTTTTTAACAGGGTCGGGTCGAAATAAAAAGAGATCGAAATAAACATTGAAATTGAATATTAAAAATTAAAATGTGTCGATTTATTTATTGAACAAAAGGAAACAAGCGTGGGCCGAAAATCCGTTTTTTTCCGTTTAACACTGGCGCCCAACGATAATAGCCCAATAGTTTTTTTAATTTTCCCATCAGTGTCACTTTAACTTTTAACTCTTCGTTTCTTCCTTACTTGCTTCTGTTTTAATTTCCTAGCTATGAGCTACCTAGTGTGCGATCCAGCATCGCGCATTGGTGAAGTTCATAGTGAGTCTTCACAGGGGGTAGTGGGAGGAGTGTGGCATCCACCGTTGAAGCTACGTCATCGGCGGTTGACATGCCGCAGTAGATTGAATAGTAGGTGGGGGTTAGGTGACATCACCGTAGGACTGAAGACATACGGACTTAACGCGCTCACTACGACCTTGCTCAGTGTAACACCCCCACACACCAAAGCATTTACATATCTTATTCACAACAACAACTATAACAGATACTTATATGCTAACAATATTAGTAATTACAAGTGTATAAAAATAAAAATATAAGAAATTAAATACCTCTTTTTCCATCCACCTAAGTGAAAAAAAAAATAAAAATCGGCATTTTTGAATTTCTGATCTGGGTTTACATGCACATTTGAATTTTACCTTTCCTCCTGGTATTGGACTATTATTATTTTTTTTAAGCCCATCGGATTTAAAATTTTCTTTGTATCATAAAAATTTTCTTGGCTTAGACCTCAACTCACTTTAATTTTGTGGGATTGCTTTCAAATCTTAGTTTTAATTTTAATTTCTTTTGCAAAAACAAAAAAAAATTTCATTCATTTTAGATCTCCTAATTCTTAAATTTTTTTTATAATTATATTAACCCAATTAAATTGTTGATTATTATTTTTTTTCCATATCATTTCCAAACTTTTTTTATTTCTTTTCTTATTTGAATTCAATATTTTTGAGTATTTTTAAATTCCGATTTTTTTTGAGCGTTGATTTCCGGTTTCAGAGAAATTATTTTGTTTCATCGTGACTGCGATATCGGATACTGAACTTCCGTATTTGAATCTAAAGATTGTGACGTTACTTTAATATGAGTTTTGGATCATAAACTTTCAACTAGCTATAGTTTCCTTTTAGTATTCTTTATATAGCGTTTCAACTCGATTTTTTCTAAGAAATCGTACTCTGGCCTTCACGACGCTCCAGCTTTGAAAGTATTCAACTCGGAACCCGCTGGTGGTAGCAGAGGAAGAAGAAGGCCCCACTGAGATGGAAAGACTAAGTGGAGAAGGACTTGGATTCACTTGGCATTTCCAATTGGCGTAAGTTGGCACAGAGAGAAGCGACTGGCGTGCTTTGTCAAACTCAGCTAAAATCGCTTATGCGGTTACAGCGCCAAATAAGAAGATGCAAATGGAAGCGCCAGGAGGAACTAGGAGAACGCTCCTTATTAGATTATGTCAACGGTTCGATAAATAAGTTACATAGCCGTAGCTCTTGCTTCGTCTGGAACATCTGCGACATTGTTACCAGATGGAGACACTTCTCATTTAGCTCTTATGCTGCCATTGAACATACATATCATCGAAACTCCCACGTGCAATATTTCCAGAACATCCGGTATGGGAAAAGTACTTACTACAAAAATGTAAACTCATTGTTTGGGATGAGTGCACGATGGCACATAAAGAACTCTCTTGAGGTTCTTGATCGAATGGTGGAAGATTTGCGTAGAAATGTTCAACCATTCGGGAATGCATTGATATTGCTCGCAGGAGATTTTCCGCAAACATTGTCTGTAATTTCTCGAATGACACCAGCGTGCGAGATAAATGCTTGCCTGAAATATTCAACATTGTGGCAAGACGAACCACAATATAACCAGTAAACAACCTTCGGTGAATTTGGCGACTGCCTTCCTCGGGGATGAATATGCTAGGGATGAAATTATTGGTACACACGCCTTCCAAGCACGCAGGGTTGCTTTTAAGAAACAAAAAATAATTAACTCCAAATAGTTTCAAAAAGTATAGTGTAAAACGAAATGTATTGAATAATTCCACATAAAATGGTATACATAAATGACGCATTTTCTAAACGATTTAAATTAAACGCATTTGCGAATTGATAGAAAAGTACTACGGATTGTAAATTTTTGTTAACTATGAGGTGAATGAAAATTTTCAACCCGGCCTGATGGTTTGATTTTATTACTAAGGCGTCTAATAAATTCATGGCTTTTAGTTCTAGAAGAATAAATGTCAGTAAAGACAAGTCTTTTTTGTATAATTTCTGATTTTAATTGCTCAACTTCTTTTGAACCAGAGCAACTGTCAAAAATTTCCAACAGTAAAAAGTTACGAATTGGCACAGCAGAAATGTAAAATTTTCTCGCCATAATAAAAAGTTTTTTCAACATGGAACTTTTCTACTAATTGACATGAAATTACTATCTCAACGCTCGGAGCGCTGCCACTGAGGGCCTTTGCCAACTGATTAAAAAGAGAAAATTTGGAAAGACCAAACAAAAATTTTGAGATTTCTCGTTGTGAATACGAATGGCATAGTTTTTACCTAGCTCGTGGGACTACGAAAAATTTTGACAGCTTGTAAATATGTATACAAATAAAGTTGTTGGCGATAATAAGGAGTCAAAATTAAAATGGGGAAAAGAACAAAAAGCGTAGGTTAGTTGTCAGTTATAAAATAAATCCAATTTATTTGCGAATATTTGTTTATTCTTTTTATTGAAAGGCAACCACTCGGAAAAGCTTGTGTTAATTATATTGATAACAGAACCTGGCAGCTCGCACGTTGTCTAAATTCTCAAGTAACATAAAGTCCACAAAAGAATAAGTACGCCATGTATAAATTTTAACAATACACAAAAATAGAGCTTTCGCACGAGCCATTTAAAATTTGCTTTTAATAAAATCACGATTTGACAAATACTTAAATTTATTTATCTAATAATAATACAGCACACAACCCTGAAATCTAAGAAAAAGTCTGAGGAAGGCCATTAAATAGCAGCACACAACCCCGTGCCTTCCTCAGGAGTGAATATAACTACAACAACAACGACTACTACAACAACAACCCAAAAAGGTTGGTTACTGTCTATACTCTGAGACGAACATATATACATTGCAGTTGACTACGAATATGCGTATCCAACTACAGAGCGATTAATCAGCCTAGGTATTCTCGCGACAATTACTCAACATAGGGAACGGACAACTGCCAGTCAATGAGAGATTAGGAGGAATTTTATTGCCTGATAATTTTTGTAACTTAGAAACATCGAAAGGAGAACTGATCGCAAGAATGTTTATGGATATTCAAATTAATTATAGGAATCACGATTGGCTCAGTGAACGAGCTATTCTTGCCGCGAAGGATAATGATGTCTATCAACTCAATAATGTTTTTCAATCCAGCATTCAAAGTGATGAAATAGCATATATGTACGTCGATAAACACCGTTGTGGAAACAAATGAAGCAGTTAATTATACAACAGAATTTTTGAACTCGATAGATTTTCCGGGGATTAACCCACATACTGAAATTGAAGATAGGTGTGGCAATTATCATGTTGCGGAATATTAATCCGCCAAAACTCTGCAACGACACGCGACTCGCAGTTAAGAAATTGATAAAGAACGTAGTGGAAGTAAAGATTTTAACGAGGCCTTTCAAAGGTGAAGATGTCTTCATCCCTCGAATTCCCATGATTCTGACCGATACACCATTTCAATTTAAAAGATTTAAATTCCCAGTTCGATGGGCGTTTGCAATCACCATAAATAAAGCTCAATTGCAATCTTTGGAAAAGTGTGGTTTAGATTTAGATGCTGATTACTTCTCACATGGATAAATCTATGTTGCGTGTCGGCAAACCAGATAGCCTTGATATCTACGTAGAGAATGGAAATACTGTGTACCTACACACAAATATTGCAATATCAAACTTATCTGAAACGCATGCTTTGTTTCGTTAATCATTTATCTTCCATGTAACAGGAATATGCCTCAGCAAAGCGTGGATTCACAAAGACGAATAGGTAATTTTTAAGCTGACAAAGTTTGAAGAACGAGATTCGAGGATGTTATCGAGTTTATATAAGCCCTTATCATATAATTTTTTCAAAAACAAATATTGCGAAATTTCAAGGACAAAATTTTAAAATGACATTTTCAATATTTACCAGCCCTACTGTTCCAGAAACCTGTGATCGGACTTTAAAAAAATCTGTGTGGTAGAACCTGGAAAAAAATGTGATAGCTTTCAAAAAAATGTGGTAGATCTCAGGTTTTGGATCAAACTTTGTACAAAAATTAAAGAAATTCTGTAAGGTTTCACCTAAATTGCAAACTTTTTATTTAGACTCTAAAAAAAATAATTTTAGTATAACAAAGTGCAAGATTGAAGTTGCTAAAAATTGCATTGAGTTTTGGCAATTTTTTTCCTTGACTGGGTAAAGCGGTTCCTTCCATATCAAGATATTTTTCGAACATACATTTTTTTGCAACCTTGCGGAGTGCTGCCGGCGTTTCATTTTATCACGTCACGATGTAGCGAGATAATGTGGCACGTTACAGATGCCACTACTTGGGATTTGCCGATCTTGACAATTCTCAAGTAAATGTAAACAACGCCTCAGAAACTTTAGATGCACTGAA